GACTTCAGAAGTGTTTTTGAGCAACGCATAAAATCTTCCAGGATGGGATACAAAGTCCAAAGAATTTGGAAGGAGTTCTTCTATCAGCTTGAAATAAGTTTTACAGGAGATATTTTGGCTTCTGTTCTGTCCCCATAATGTGGGAAGGTGCCTGTGACTGCATAACAAATAAAAAAAGCCCAGTATTTTTAAGTTCTCGGGCATTGTGACAGTCAATAAATAGATAAATAGATATTAATCATTTATTGTACTGTTGTACTTTCTTCTGATTCTCTGCCTTTATAAAAAGGTAGCTGTATCTGGCTAATCACTTAGGCATTTGGCTCCCATAAATGCAATATTTGAGCATCTCATTAAAAAATCAACATTTCCTAAACTGCTTTGTTGAGCATTTTTTTGGGCTTCTTAAACTGATTAGATTGACAGCATGGACTAGTAACTGTCTTACTACAGACAGATGCACTGCACATATCTCTTCCAATACACTTCACATCAGATGCTCCAGGCATGATATTCTTAAATAGAAAACGGCAGCTGTGATGATCTGTCGACAAAAGTGGAGGTGATGTTGTGATAAACAACTGCCCTCTGCAGCCTGACTGCCAAGCTGGCAGTCTTGGTTTGAACCACAACCACATAGAAACTCTTTAACCCACTGAACTTCATAAAAAGGTTTCACAGATCTCTGCTATGGCCTCTGCTTAGGCATGTAGTGTGTCTTTACATATTGGTGTTCCCTAAAAATCTACCCTGACATTTTGAAAACCTCCTGAAGGTTTGTCATTGAAGACAAGAACCCCCACACTCCTTAAGCATATTTGAAAACTTCTGGTTGAAGTTATAAATTTGTCATGAAATATAAAACTCTGGCTGAGATCTGTTTCAAAGTTTCTGAAGTAAAGGGTGCCAAACGTTAAGTGCATGAAAATGCCAAAGAACTGAATTAGATAAGAAATAGAAGGATTATCTTTGCAAGGTAGCAGGAGGGAGCCCTTCATGGGAATTATGCAAGTTTAGTGTGGAGTAAATTTCAGAGGGAAGACACAGGTGATGATCCTCTCTGCACCTCCCTGTTTGTGGAGAGATTTGAGGTGGAAGGATAGACAGAGGCTGACAAAAAAGCCATCACCCAGGTGGCAAATCGCAAGCCACAATTACAAAAAAATATCCCCAAAAGGACAGGCTTCATTTCAGCTTCAGGAGGAAATCAAAAGGCACATCCCTAACTCGATTTCAACTACCAGATTTCAATCTCCTGCCCTGAAGAGTCCGGGCATTAGGACCCTTCAAAGGGTCCTGATTCCTTTAGAATTTCAGTTACGTCCCAGCTTCATTCTCGACAATGGTGAAGCTCCTGTGGTTCTGTGCTACAAATGTTGCCCTGCTGCCTCCCCCTTCCTCCCTCCCCCCCAAAAACTGCCAACCAACCAACCAACCAAACCAAACCAACCAAACCCCCAAACAATTAAGAAACCAGTCTTTATAAAACTGAAAATTTCAGTGTCTTGATGTTCAAAGTTACAGATCATGGGCAGTAAGACCTGATCTCAGGAAGTGTCTGGCAGCATCGTTAGACAATGCTAAATATCCCAGAGTAAACCCCAGCCTGAAGTTTCAGGATGCATTTTACAAACAGACATACATATGTAACTTAAAGCAACTCTAAGCCCTCCAAAAAATCAATAATACTTTGCATGTTGAAGATACTTATTAGTTAGTTATTGTGGTAGTGATTAATAGACACCAAGGAGAGAGTATTTAAAAATACCCAAGTCACCAAGGAGCCTAAATTTTAAATATAATAAGCTGCTTGAATGTCCACTCCTACATCAGTCAGTCTTTTACTGAATGGCAAAGAAGCTGAAACCAAAAACATTCTCCTTATTAAAAGAAACAACGGAATTACTTTTCAGTTTTATCCTTTGAGAAGTAGTTTAGATGCCATTCTCCCTGCCTTTTGGTGAAATTCCAGACTTTAAAGGAATACTATGACAATTCATTGCTAAATGACAATGGAATTCCTCCGTAATTGCACATTACATGCATCCACATTAATACAAGATCATTTCATTAGGTCTGTTACTATAATGAATACCAAACACAAAATGTGAGTCTAGAGATCACTTTCCTAATCAGAAGTATCAGACCCCAGGAACTCTCAGAGAATAGGGCTATTAAAATGTAAATAGTTTCTCTGAAATTTAAAATGCCCTTTTCAAAAACAGATGTTCTTCTTGATCATTCCTTGCATAGATTTCCAAAATCTGTACTCTAGATGGCTAACTGAAAATCAACTGGATATTAGCCTCAGAAACTCTTCCTAATTTATGTGAACAGTTTCATTAGAATACACTGCTACATTTAATTAGCACTTTTGATGAGGTGGTTTAAAGCTAAAAAATTATAAACTTGATAACAATGCATGTACATTTCTCTCAACCAGCCTAAAACTTCAGGACAGGAAAACATCTGTTGTAACCTAAAAGCACAGGACAAAATGGACAGAAAACTCTGTGGCTGGTAGTTTAACACATCACTTTAAAACCACAGAGCTGAAAGTTGCACAGTATCGACATTATTCTTCATCTCTTCAGTGAGATGTGAGAAGTCAGGAGGAAAACTTCCTATTGCCACAAGGGAGACGGGGTTCAAGTTCAGGTTACTGGGTTCAGCACCAAGATCTAACAGCAAATATGGCATCAATACACCAATGGCACGTTGCTCCCTCATACAAGCAGGTATCCTCCAGCTGAAGAGGGCAGGAGATGGGGGGACTGTGCCATGAACTGTGTACAAACAGTTGATGCTAAAAATCTAGTCCAAAGAACTTTCTTTTATGATGTGCCCCAAGACTGAAATCTGGCACAATAACTCTGTAGGTCACACTAAGACATGATTCTGGCTCCCTGTTGCTTTTAGTCCATTATGTGTGTTATTTAATATCATCTGCAGAGCAATAGTTCTTTCAAGTTTTGCTTTTGTTAAGCACTGCTTTTCCTCAGACATCAGTAATTACAACCTTCTAAAGCACTTCATCAAGAGTGACTTTTTATTGCTTAGCTTCCCCATCAGTGGAAGAACTGAGCTCCCAGTGACCTTTGGTCTGATCCTTAACATTCCTGCTTCTTACAGCACAGGCATTTCTGCAAATTAGTCTTTAACTGTGCCTGTACGTAATAAGTGCTTTGAAGGAGAAAGGTTTGATATGGGTCCACAATCATCAGTTTTCTGTGCCTTAAAAATAACTTGAACCCCAGTCTCCATGGTAACAGATACCACCAGTGAGCCCCAGCGAATCTTGGTTCTTTTTATGGACAAGATGAACAGGAAAACCGTAAGGCTCCAATGAAATCTCTCATTACTGCCAGAGTCTTACATCTTCTTTAATCCTCTGTTAATGGTGTGCACTAAAGGGTGCTATGCCTACACAGAGCCATGTTTAAATACTATTATCCTTCCTTTACTTTCACATCATAATGCTAGAAATGCTAAGAACAATTCCCTCAAATCTATCATGCCACTAAAAACTGACCAAGGCACATATCTAACTGTACTCTGTATGCACAGACTGTCTTTACAGTGTAGAATAAAAGTCTCTGACTTGTTAGACTTGATGGCAATTTGCTGATCCATGTGTTCTCACTTCATGACAGTCATTCAGGAAAAAAATTTGGCAGTGTGACAAATTTTCTCACCTGCATAACACACACTAAGGCCTGCCCATGAAAATGCCCTTTGGATTATTTTTTTTGGAAACTGATATTGACTCTCCCATGGCTGAACCATCAAAGCAGTTATGAGCAAACTTCCCAAATTTCACTGGGGAGCCTTTCTACCACCGTAGCTTTCCAGCTGGAAAGGAACCAGCACCAGGCCACCAGTGCAGGCAGATTTCAGGTTAAGATCAAGCATGTTTCTGAGCTGCTCTCCAAACCTTTTACTCAGCCAGACAAAGCTCTGTAGCAGAATGCACCACTGTGTCTTTTGTTTTCTGGACAAAGTCTTGGGAGCTTTAAAGATGCAGACACTGCTTTCAGTGCTTTGGAAAACCCAGATTATAAATGAAAGTTTTAGTTAGAAGAACATATGTTCTCACTTGGTTTTAAGTTTATATACTACCAGTAGCTGTAGGGTAAAATTTAATCAAGAATTATATTACTATGTCTAAAATCTTATGATCCACCTTAGTCTCAGCCAAACTGACTAAATGTTAGGCAGCCCCTACATGCCTTGAAGTCTTGTCCAGCTAAGTGGCACTTTCAGCAATTTCTCCAGGATCAGTAGATACAGGGTACAGCTCTTTGATTACAAATGCAGTATTTCCTGCTGTTTTTAAAATACTTGTCTCTCAGGAAGCAGCACGAGTGGGCCTCAGCTAATCAGTTCCATGTCCCCCAGGCAGGGATCTTTGCAATACTGGTCTTCTTCGGAGACATCTCTGCACAGAGCAGCCTGTGCTTACACTGCCAAAGGCAGGAGAAGGTACGGGATGAAGCTACCCACATACCATTTGCCCTCAGGAAGAAATACAATTATACAAACTCTAAAAAGCCATTAATTCCCAATTTGAGATCTCCAGCTCAAGTTTAATAAAGGCTTTAAGACTATGCTACATAATTTATGCGGCACTCACAGGCAGAATCCTCTGCATAAAGTTCTTCTTGGCTTGAAAAGTACAGGAACAAATCCTAAGGATATAAACTCTAAATTGAGAGACACTGGGACTAACTATCTGGGGGGCCTTTCCAGACTTTCTGATATTTGAAAAGTTATTTAAGAAAGAAAAAAGAAATAATGAAAAGAAGAAAGAAACCTGGTGATTTTCTTTACTCACTTTTACATGGCAAGAGCAGCAAAGCTAAATAGGAACTCACAAACAACTAAAGGGACCAAGAAGATTTAAGGAGCCTCTCCAGTGATTTGTTGCATTCATTTAGACTGTAAGTTCCAAAAGGTAAATCCCTTTTCTTACCATGCATCTGTGCAGCTCAGTATTGTATGGGCTCCATCCCACTGGCAGTCACCAGCCTTGGGTGCAACACAACTGAAGGGCAGAGACTCCAGCTTGGACTAACTGAAAGAAGCATAAGAAAGACATTTTCTTTACATTCACACTTTTGACAGAAAAAAACATAGTTCCTGGAATCACTTCCATGAAATTTCTTGCATGTAACACTACTCACCTTTATGGCTACACAATTCTATCTGAAAAAAAACCCTACATGCCTAAATAGCAAAACAAGTCAAACAAACAACCCAGACCATTTACAGCTTCTATGTCAACAAGTAGGTCCTAGTATTTCTCACTTTCTTTGAAAAAGCTTAAAATTCACCCAAAGATATGAAAGAAAGATGCATCTATCAATGTCTTTTCAGACTGGCAGCCAGATGAGAAGAGATACAATCTATATTGCTTAAATAAACACTTATTTTGAAAGCTTTCTGTTGGTAAATTGAAACATTTGGGTAAGGACTGTCATATCTGCCCTAAATCCATTTCTATGATAAGCAATGCTAGTCTTTCTGATTTGAATTCAGTTAATGATAATCCACAAGGTTTTTAATCTAAGTGCCTCATTCATCATTTCTAGGCTACCTGAAGGTGCAGTCAAAAGCAGGGAAGAGATGCCATTATAGCAGATGTGTTCTATATTGTCCTTTAAATATATCCTCAGATCATTAACTCTGATTAGTGTCCTAATGTGGGTCAGATTCAAAACCATTAACATTGCAATCCTTTCCCTAACATGCACCAGGCCCACCATTCCTGTTATGCTACTTTTTATAAAGTAAAGATTTATATCTTGGCACGTACTGTTTGTTTTGAAATCCCTTCTTTTGCTATGCTTTTTTATTAAGCACACAGAAGGATCTGCCAAGGTTTGGCACAGTTAAATGGAGAGTATCCTCCTGTGGCGACCACAAGAAACAACAAGCATTTATTGCACCCAGTTTTAACAGGCGATTTTTTCTTGGACTTTCCAGGAAAACCTTAAGAGAGAAACTGCACTGAGAAGTCATCAGCTTGCTACTTACTGGATGGATTACCCTGATCTGCCTGCAAAAGTCCCACAACTTCTGAGTCTGGAAAGCCCCCCTCACATATATTTAAACTATCCAGACTGTCAATCTTGCTATTATTCTTCTATGAATAGTTAGTTATACAAACTATGTTATGCTATTTCTGCTATTATTCTTCTAACAGCATTTTCCAAATCATCCCAATATACTCCTGCATCTTCACCCAGTTAAACATGATTCAGTTTGTGAGTATTTCAGTTGAGTTCCTTTGTGATGGGCATTAAAGTCAAGAAGAATACAAATAGTTAAAGCCCAGGTGCAACAGAATCTTACTGTTTTCTACTCACTGACTTGGACAAACTTGCTGTTTTGCCTCAGCTTTTCCTTTTGTCATTGCGCTTCTGGTTTTTATTTCTATGCATTTATCACCTTTAGTGCACACATTTTCTCACTCCTTGCCTAACTCATTTTCAGGGAAGCACCTCAGCAGTATATCTGGAGAGCTCATATTTGTACTAGCAACAAACACACCGCAGAAATCTGAACGAGTGTAATCCAGAAGTGATAAGGTCCCAACCAAACATACCTAGTGGCCAAATCTCAGCTCATTCCAAAATGCCAATTTTTTTCAAATTAAGTTTTTAATAAACAGTTGGTCATTTAGAGATAGCACAGACCCTACTGCACTCAAGCAAAGAGCTTGGACACCTACGGCACTCAGCTTATGCCCAGGTAATTACAGGTTCCAGAAAATTTGCAAGGCTATAAGCAGATGGTCGTGTCTCAGTCTCACTGTGGCCACTCCAACTGTAATCATGTAAAGCTTTATTACACAATTAAAAACACATACATGAGGTCTTTCACTTGACAGGTCTATATTTAAGCAAGGACAAAGCAAGGTCAATAAGGACAAAGATTTTGGGAAGAGATAACAGGGTAGGTTGAATGTCTATTGGGAAATAAAGGGTGACAAAAGCCTCCTGGATTTCTGGGACTGAAAGGACACACACAAGTCATATTCCCCGCCACCTGCCCGTGACAGCACACAGAGGAAATGAGGTCAGGATTCAGCATACTTTGACAACACCGGCTTTTAATGCCTCAAAGGAGCAGGTTGTTCTTTGGCTTCCCTTTTACAGTAATTGTTGTGCCAAAGACTGACTTCATAATTATCCTGCATTCATGGGTTTTTTTCTCCTCTCTGACTACACACAGAAAACTGGCTGTTGATTAGAACTTTATTCAAGCATCCCCTGGTATCCAGCTCATCTGAAGCATGAGAAGGTAATTTAATTTTCACTCTTCTAGTCCCACAAGCTACACTCTGGGGGACAATAGAAAAGGAAGCAGGTCTGTGGGTCTCAGCTATTCTCCTTATTAGCTTAGTGACACAAAGAAAGAGATGAACTATGAATGAATGCTGCCTTTTCTGAGCCAGTTCTCATAGGCTTATGCTTCCTTCACACCCAGGAGACTGCCACTTCAGCTGGATAGGAGCTTCTCACATTGACTGGGTCACCTTGTAATGCAAAAGTAGCAGTAACACAGCAGCACAGCTAGTCTCTAAAACATCCCAGTCTTTCTTTATCCAGTGCTTGGTTGAAGTGAAACACCCCATTTTCACCAGAAGAAAAACAGCTCATTTGGAGGTGAGATGGAGGGAAATACCACCCAAACCAGACCCTAAGAAATGCTTTATCAAACTCATTTTGCAGTGAGAGGATTTGACACAAAATGTCCCAGATTCACAGGGAAAACAGACAGCAGATATCTCAGTTCACTCCACACAGGAGGTAACAGTGAAAGAGGGGAATGTGCCCCAGCAATGAGGCTACAAAACGTCTGTTTTCATTTGTTTGACAGTGAGTGAAGAACATTTTATCTGGGAAGTCATTCAGCAAACCCACTCTGTGTGGACATACAAAAGAGAACTGGCTTTGCTGCCTATGGAATAAAAAAGGTGTTTGCTAAAAGAGAAACTCATGTAGGGCTCTGAGTTGTGTAAGTCTTTCCCTTTGTGTTCAACAATCCCAGTGTCCATGTTTCTTGCTAAATCCTACTATATTCCAGTTCTGAGCTTAAAACTATCTTTGCCACTCTCAAAAAGTTTGAAGGCTGTTTGTTTCAAACCACTGAGTCAAGCCTCTGAGACAAAGTTGGTTCTTTTCTTAAAGTGTTCTTATAATTTGCAAAAACTCTCTCATAAGTGTATGTATCAGGTCACTGCTTGATTGATGCAAACTGTGTTATGTTGCTCGGTAAAATTTCTGCAATATCTTCAGAAGGTACATTATTGTCTGTGACTACAGAAACCAAACTCTATTTTGGTGCCTTCTGGTTTCAAGTACTAATTGAGAAGACCATGCAGGTAAATATTAATCAGCAGAAAGCAACTGCTATTGAAGTTGAAGAGCTCTTGACTTAAGATGTAGATAACAACTGAGGTGACAAATCTGATGTTTACTGAAAATTAGAATTGTGCAGTTTGTAAAAGTGTCAGAGACAACTTTGTAATGACACTGGCTTGAAATGGAGTTTATATTTGTTTCAACTTTCAGAAGTCAACTGAGGAACGTCAGACAGCACACAAAGGAGAAGTCTGAATAAAAAGAATAAACCAAGACCTTCTAAAAGTACCTGCAGGAGGACCTCATATAACTGCATTATGATTTTTAAGCTAGACCTTCAACTGAAAGTTGCCCATCTAATGGGCACATATGAAATCAATATTATTAGGTTTGGTTCACCTTACCTCAAAATTTGTCCCTGCTTTGCAAAATAAACCACGACAAATTCACTGATCTGCATAGTAATTGAATAATTAGCTAATTAGCATGGAAGCAGACATCCAGTGATGTATGCCTGTATATTCATTAGCAGCAAGCATTTCCTGATACAAGCAACAGAAAGAAATCCCAACCTGATAAATAAAATTCAAGCAAATTTCCTTTCCCTTTCAAGAAACTGAACAAGAACAGTTTTCTGAAAAAAAATCAGCAGTGATTAACCTGAAATAAAATGCCAGTTCAAAAAGACTAGCTTGAACATGTGATTATGAGGAAGTTAATTTCCTGAAATTTATAGGTTCTTGTAAAACCTATAGATGCACATCATGACTTAGATTAACTTTATTTTAAAGGGATATTGTGCAGAACGAAGGAGCTGCAGTTCTTTAATATCTTTTGGGCTTGCTGCTTAGTATTAAACAGGTTTTATGGGCAGAAAAAATAGTCCACTAATTTAATGTCTAGTCACTCACCTTGTCTTTGGTGACCGTTTAATATAAAGTGAACTAATAATATTAGTAAAAACATCAAATGACAAAGAAGTGGTCCCACACATGTTTTAATTTCCCTTTCTAGCTGCAAATTATGGCAGCTAACAATTGGCTGGCTTCCCATAAGTCAACATCTTCCATTACTCATATATGCTCCCCCAGAAGACATACTGTCTTAATTTATACTTAAACTTTGATCAACTCCCCACAAGTTTAGACATTGCTTGTAAAATATGCAAAGCACAACTTCTAGACAGGACAGTCCCACCTTGCCCAACAACTCATTCCCTTTTCTGCAGTGACCACTATTGCAAAATTCTGTGAAGTGCAACACAGTTCTTCACAAATGAACGTTTAACATGTTTTATTCAGCTTCTCTTCACTGCTGAATCTCCCCCTGTACCCAGCCCTGACGTACTTACTGAGCACGAGATGCAAACCTTAGACAGGGAACACCTGTAAAACCTTAAGGACATAGCTAAGAATACTGGAATTTGGCAGCTTTTTTGGATTATGTATCACTTCTACTTATTCTTCTAACTGGCATTTATTCTGTACAGGCATGACAGGCCATAAAAGGAGCTCGGTTTCCAAGTGCCTGCAATGACAGTTTGAATGCCAGTACTCAGCAATCCTTCAGACTAGGTGTGAAATTCTGATAAAATCAGCTGGCATTTGTGCTGCTGATTTCAACAGGATCAAGGCTTTATACTACCTCTGTTGGCTAACATGATTTAAGATGTGGGAAGGATCATTACAACAGTGAGCTATCAAGTTACCTTGATATATGGTCACCACAGAAATTTCTCAACTGCAGCTAGGTGGATTAAGATTCTCTTTTCCCCTGGGGCAATTTGGGAGTCCTTAGTGCTGAGGAGACCACTCCTTCACTTTCCTAACTTCAGGAATTTAGGTAGTATTACCCTTTATATATAAAATCCTGGAAGATAATTCTCCAAGGTTTAAAAAAATCCTCTAAGAGGGAAATGTGTAAAGATCCATCATAGCAGAAAGCCTTGTCAGATTAATGAGATACCTCTGTCTGTAATACAGTCAGGGATTTCAGCTGGATCACACTAATTGCCATTAAATGAAATCATCAGCCTGCCCTCTCCTCCAGACTGTATGGCAAGCCTGACAATGAATATATTCCCATTGAAGAGCAAATGACAATAAAAGGACAGAATTTAACAGAGTAATTTCCATTGCAAAAACTATTTCTTAGCCTATGAAATTCCCAACTCTGTACTAACCAGAGATGATTCCCAAAAGCACTGTGTGCTCGTTTATATTGGGTGTTCCAAGAGTTTTCACTGTATACAGACACGTTCTGAAGAGATTTATGCTATCTGAACATGACAGCAGCACAGAGTGACAACAGCACAGGCTGCAGTCCTTTTAAGAATTCCTGGAAATGCTTTATCCCATTTTCCCCTAATTCTGGCTATTAACCTGATGTGTAACAAGCTTTGGTATACAGGCACAAAGGACTAGGTCCCCTGTTAGTGCAGAACAGCAGATCTTTACTAAAGACACCAGAGTGGCATCTATAGTTTGGCAAGGGCCAACAAACAGGCCGAGGGCACAGCACCAAGTGAGAGGGGCTGAGCAGCACTGCTCTGTCCCCTGCATGCCAGGGGAAAGCAGCAGCACGTGCCTGCCTTTAGCCACAGCCTGAGGAGCTGCCAGGCACAGACAGGCAGAAAGCAGGACCCGACAATCCGTTGAGACTTTTCCATCCGAGCGTATCCATTAGAGTTGCATCTGATGTATACAGGCCCCTCGGTAAGCCTCCAGTAACAAAGAAAATTTACAAAAGTGTCCATGATTATATGGGTTAAGACCCATATTATTTTAGGATTATTTGTAATTTTATACTTATCTACACATACCAAATACTGGGTAGAATTTTATAAAGAGAAGATTCAACATTTGGACAGGATATGCAATATTTGACATCACAGTAAACTGCACATTCGAGGTGCAAGTTTTGCAATAACACAGCTCCCCTCTGCAGTCCACACAGTTTGTAACATCCTCATTCAGTACTTGGTATGGCATTCACCCTAACTGAAGGTACAGTGAAATTATCAGTCATGACAAAGGAGGATGGTCTTGCAGCTAGACAGCAAACTTGGGTCCAGATCAAGCCCAAGTCAAATGAGGACCAAATAAAGAGATTCAGTCTTAAAAACTTTCTTTACAGGCTTCAAATCAGATGCAACTTGTCTCAGCTTTGCCACTGACTGACTGTGGCATGTGAAAGCTAACAGGAAGTCACATCAATGGAGACTTTCAGAAGAACTTGATTATCTAAAAGGAACCTGAAGCAGAGACTTCAGTGCTCCATTTACGCATTTATGGATTTAATTCCCAAAATCACATATAAAGTCAAAAAAAAGTATAGTAGCAAAATATTCTGTATCCCAAATGCCAAATTATACTTCTGTATCTCTTTAGAATCACTCAGAGCTGATCAGATCCCACAGGACAGCTGTATCTCTGTGCAAGTTCTTAGAGACTCAGTGAACCTCTAACACAAATTAGAGCAGCAGACTTGGCACAAATGTTGCAGCAGCCAATATTTATTTACTTTAGTAAAATACAAGCAAAGGAAAAGATGTCTCAAATCTTTTTATCCAAACAAAATATAGGTTAGAGTAGTCACGGACACTTCCTATGTTTCCAAAGAGCCAGAAAACGATAAATAAAAGGTTAACATGAATTGAAGACAACTGTGTTAGAAACTATTCCACCTGGATTAAAATAGAGATTCTCTGGTCAAAGTGTACACCTGATTCTCCATCCCTACTGGACACTAAAACTTTCTCACTCGAGCAGTCTCCAGAGACAGGGAATGGATTGAGCCCTGGAGCAGTTGAACTGATTAATGGAGACACCAACAGTTTATGTATTCTTTGATTACTTGTGCACATTTTTAATGGCATCTTCAGATTCAAACAAGCTGCATGGCAAACCAGCCTGAAAAAAAACCCCAAGACACTTGGATGAACACAGATCAGGAATGCAGCCCAAGTTCTTCCCAGCACTGCTCTGGGACCACCACCAGCTCCAAGCAGAAGCACAGCACGTTGTCAACAGTCATTCCCTAATGCTCAGAGGGCCTTCATCAAAGCAAGTTTGTGTTTGTTGCACTCACCCTCAGGGAAATATTGCAGTCCAGACACGCAAGTGCTTGCGAGAATTCAAGGTGTGCCTTGCACAGCCAAGAGCAGTTTCAGGGTCTGATTTAACCTGGGGGAGCTGCTCATGGGCTGCTTAGGAGGTGCACGACGTCAGAGAGGAGCACTGCAGCTCCTGCCATTCTGTCCTACTCCCTCCATGCCAGTATGACAGAGGGTAGCAGGGATGTCTCCTGTATCCACCCATTCGTACCTCACACGAACAAGAAAGAATCAATCTCCTCAAACAGGAGATGCTTTGCTTGTGCAGCCATCTAAAGATACTCTGGACTTACAATACTGAGAATATATATATTCTCCTGGAAGGAATATATATATATACTCTTCAAAGCTTATGAATACTATGGAACCTGCTTCATCCATTCTGGGTTTTTCAAAGCACTTACTTGCTCCAGACAAGTATTTCATTAGCTGCAGCTGCAGGCTGAGCAGTGGGCCAGCTTACATGGAGCAGTTCAGCCAACAAGTAGGCTACCTTTACCAACAGGTGATTTTATGATCATTTGTATAGTAGTCCTTTCATTCCATAAAAAGTATACCTAGAGAAAACAGAGCATTGCAGTAATATTAAATCACTGGCCTTTGGTATGGTAAAAGCTTTAATGGCAGGCGGTGCTGAAAGATTTGAAGAAATAACAAGGGTTTTTGTTTGCACAGTTTACTGTTCCATATTTCAGTCTGACAGTCTGGAGAGATAAGAAAACAGAAGAGAAGGTAAAAGTGAACAGAAGCCTCAGAGAAAATCTAATTTCCATCTTTCTTTCAATGAGACTAACACCCAGCAAGAAGGAAAGTTAAATGCCCTTTCCCAAAAGAAGAATATGCAACTTGCTGCAGGCAAATAGGCAACATCAATGAGAATGGGATCCTTTACAAGATCAGGGATTCATTGGCTTTAAGGCTTTCTGTGCCTTGTTAGTCTTCTCCTGTGTCAGTCTGCTATGGACACAAAACTCATTCTGAGCACTCATGACACAGTTGTTTGTTTTTTATATCCTCTTTTCTGCCCATTGTTCACCAACAGTCTCAGCCTCAGCAGCCTGCATAACTGGTGTTACAGACCTTCCATCTCCTTCGAAATACAAGAGCTGTAAGATTTCACATACTTTGTAGCTGGTGACATTCAGTAGAGCAGGTCATATGTAAACACAAAGAAACATTCCAAATACATTTAGAAACCACATTGTTAATGCAAATCAAATGTAAACATCTTTAAGGGCAATTTGCTATTCATCATGCTGAGGGCCATCCGAACAGTCAGAATATTCAAATCCCAAATCATAAGCTCTTATTTTGATCCAACTATTTGGACTGTGAAACTCCTGACTCTAAATGGGCAAACCTATGCTATCGTGCTTCTAAAAAATTTTAAAATTAAGTGGATCAAATGTTTTTAACCAAAAGAAAAAATAAAACTGCTTCTGATATTCGGTAGCTCATTGGAAAAGGCCAAGTGTTCCATGCAAATAAAAAAAATTATATAGAAACCTTCAACCAGACCCTAAGCTATTAAAATTTAAAGATAACAAAGCAGGGCAGGTTTTTACCTTCCTTATTGAGGTTCAATTTTGTTAAAACCTTTGTGTTGTCCTGGTTACTGCAGCTATGGGCTTCAATCTGGTTTCTCACAGCTGTCCCCATTAAAATACATAAAATATATAAAAAAACACTCCTGCCTACTTTGATTTATAGCTTGTTCTGAGCTCAGTGAACTAAACATGTCACCTCTTGTATCAGCTGACAAATTCTAGAGGTCTTATTTTATATTGTCTTTAAGCCCAAGGTATAAGCTTGGGTTTGCTTCAATAGCTGGATTCTCAACCAGAAAAATCCATGTACCTCCTCTGCAGTCAGAATAGCTCGGCCTATTCATCTTTGCCATCCAAAGCCCCCTCACTGCACACACATGAAACAGCAACAGTTCTCTCCCCATGTACTACCCCACCACTGCACTTGACATGAACCTAATAAGGGTAAGAGTGACTTCAAGGCATTAGCTGTGTCTTTGCTAAGGGAAAGCCACACTCCCAAGGCCCCATCACAGCTGAATCACCACAAACAGGGCACACAGCAGGTACCTCTGCCCGTGCTCCCGAGCCCAGCAGCAGCAACGCCCCGGCTGGAGAATCGCAAGCTGAACATGTTCTGTATCCCATACGCAGTTCCATTCACAGAATCACAGAATCCTCTAGGTTGGAAAAGACCCCCAAGTTCATCCAGTCCAACCTTTGACCAGTTGCCACATTGCCAGCTAGACCAGAGGACTGAGTGCCTTGTCCAGTTGTTTCTTGAACACCTCCAGGGATGGTGGCTCCATCACGTCCCTGGGCAGCCCCTTTCAGGGTTCTGACAACACTTTTGTGAAGAAATTCCTATCCCATAGTGTAGTAACCTCATAGTAAACATTCTGCTACACATGATTCTCTTCAGGATTCTCTAGGAAGAAGAGAAGGCTGATTTATCTGCCAGATGCTGTCAACGTGCTGTCTCAGCAAGCCCCAGTGGGATGGACTGGAGACCAGCACACACCACAGGCAGAGATGTCTCTCAGACTGGTGGGATACCTGCCTTGTCCCTCCTGCTGTGCTTCTGAGCTCATCCAACACAAACACCAAGCTAGGCCTGTATCCAAAGCACTTGTATCAAGAGCAGGTTTGTCTTCAACACACACTGCAGCCCAGGGCAGGTGGGGACACCAACAGCGAGGAGTCAGGGACGTCACCTTCCAGCCCCTCCACAGCCACTTGCACACCAAGGAAAGGGACATGCAGGAGGTGCAACTGGCTGCTACTCTGGGTAAGGGTAGCCTGGAGACACATAAAGGAAGTTCTGGATTGGATGTGCAGCAGAAAAGAGGATTTGATCAGTCTGAACTGAGCCCATGGTACTGGCATTTCCATGTGCCATATATCCAAAACCAGCTGTAAAATATGTCAGTGACATTTGCAGTGTTCTGAAATTTAAGTCACCAATTATTCCCCCAGCCCCTTGTTTATCGCCTCAATAACCCATGAAGGAAAGGTGAAAGGCCAACCAATGAAAACACTGAATATTAAAAAGGTTAAAGTCTATAAGTGCATTAAAAGTTTACAGTTTTGCTACTGACTACACTGGGGATATAAATGCTGTTGTCTTGTTCTCATGACAACGACAAAAAAGTGGGACAAAAAACCCCTGTTCTTGTGGTAAATCTTGTGGAAATCATCGGTTACAAATTTAACTCTTTCTGTTTGCAATTTGCAGGGTTTCACTTCTAGAGATAGACCAAATGCAGAGTCAGAGCAAGAGGATTAAATAGCCTCTAGTGACAATTCAGATGACTGATCTCCATATTGATTGCACTTCTCATAGATGTTATTTTAATTTTGAATATGTTATTGGATATCTGAATGCCAGATTATCTATCCACTGTGGTTAAACAGATGGAGTGAATAATGCATTCCTATTTGCCTTTCTTTGATCATTTCATTTGTGTTTCAAAGCTGGCACAGAACAGCTGCTTAAGGTACAGAGCTCAAAAGACATTCTAAATCTAAATGGCTGACACTTGATGAGGCATAAAGCCTGCAGGACATGCTTCCTGTAAGGACACACAATGCTCAGGGCTGCAGGTTTATTATTATTATTATTATTAATCACTCACCTAAGAAAGTATATTGAAATTAATTATCTCAAGTATTCCTTTAAAAAACAACCTTAGGGATCTTATCTGCTGAGGACAGAAAAATCAGTTAACTAATGTAAGAGTCCTCTGGAACCTTATAGTGAATGAAACAAACATGATTAAGTTTTGCAAGAAGTCTGATTAGACTCATTAGTACTTTTCTTGTCAGAGAAATCACAAACAAAATAAGTCCTAATAGGAGCATAAGATTGTTCCTTATGGTTTTACCATCTCCATTTAATTGCACATTTAAGATGGAATATTTAAGAACTATTTCATTCATATTCCAAGTAGTAACATGATGTGCTCCTACTAACTTAGCTGAAAATGGTAAAAACCTGTAATCTCAGACTTGGGTAATGTACTTGAATGGCACTTACCAGTCTGACTACTCTAACCCTACACAAAACCAGTGTTAAACAGCTTACAGGTAATGAAAGGAATTAAAGAATTAATTTCCAGTGAGAAATCATATTGGAATGTGAGAGCTGTAATGACCAAATGATGCTAATCAATGTATTGTATTCCATCTCACACCACAGAAAGAAAGGTCAGCAGGTGAGAGATGAATGAAAAGATGTGAATAAAATCCTGGGTGATTTTTCAGAGCACTTTGATTATTTATCATGATACGTCCAATTAAAGATACTAATTTAAACCACCAAATATTTTAGCCTTAAACTGCATTATAGCCCTACTTTGCATTTAACAATAGAGGACACAGAAGAAAATCCATGCACTAGAGAGCTGTAAGTTGATTCTAAAAGTAATGCACTCCTAGGAGTGAATAGCAGTTGAATGTTATTGCCCCTAAGTGCTGCTGGAGGACTAGTAGGATCACAAGAATACATAACAGCAGCAGAGAGGAACTGGCAGATAATTTTAGGCTCCTATACAGCAGTGCTGAAACAGCTATCAAAATATTGCGTCCACTCCTCATGCCCACATTTTCAAAATAATTTTTTTTTAAATACATGAAAAGATTTTAGGGAAGAAAACTGTATTCAAAGGTTGGGTTAAACTCTTTGGAGAGAAAAGTAATTTTAAAAAATAGGAGGTAGATTAGTTTAGGAGAAAAAAAAATATCTGCTGCTGAAGAACTCTTTAATTTGGTCAAAGAAACTGCAGGAGAAAGTTATGCCTGACAAATGCAAACTGTCCTTCAACAGTGAGGGCAATTAACTAGTAAAAAAACCAACAAACTAACAAAAAGATGGAAACCCTCGCTTGATCCATGTCTTCTCATCAAGAGTCTGGAAGTGGGGCAGAGGAGAGACAGATCATACAGTCTCATCATGACTAGAAAATGTATTATACAAAAAAGTCTCTTTTGTTGCTCAACTCCATAGAAGAGAACATTCATTTAGTAAAGACAAGGGTTATACAAAAGATCTTATAATTTTATGAACCATAGTATTTTGAGGAGCAAGTGTGGATTCCACACAGCTTCATCATGCTTTCAGAGCATGATGAGCAAAAGTAAGTGTATTCATTTTCCTGTCAAACTGGTTCTGACTAAATTAACACAGTTAATGCAAGAGACAGTTTTCTTTCCTCTGAAAACAACCTCCACATCCTGAAATTGCTCAAGCAGAGAAAAAAAAAGGATTTGGAAGTACAGCTAATATAACTCACATCCCCAAAATAAGCCAGCCTGTCTCAGCTTCCTGAGGAGCACTATCCTGCCCGTCCAGGTGGAGTGTCAGCTCACCTGTCTGAGGCATCAGTCAAGGCTGCAGGTGGAGAGGATTAAGCTTTTACCTCCTCTTTTCTCCAGAGAAGTGCTCCCTGTGGAGCAGTGTGCTGCTAAGTCAGGAGCCGGGACAGACAACCACACTTCAGGTTCTTACCCCTCCACTGAAAATCAGCCACGCAGGGTCTGCTGCTCCGGGGGTCATTTCACAGCTGGCAGCGGCAGACGAGAAGTCACTGCCTTGAAAAGACAAAGAGGAAGTCGAGTTGTGTAGAAGGTTCAAGGTAATTCAGTCAAACGTTAGACAAATGCCTAAAAACCCGGAATGTGTAACCAAAATAAGGGGCTCGTGGTGCTGAGGGAAGGGGCTGCCTGGTCCTGAGGGAAGAGGAGGCCTCAGCTGCCTCACGGCACTGCCCCCGAGGGAGAGACTCCCCCTCAGCACGGACCTGGACTGGGAGCAGCCTGAAAGATAAACCAGCACTGCACACCACAGCTTTCAAACACTGCCATATAATTTTTCATGAGCTCACCATCAGCCCCTTACAGGCTCTGTCAGCAGCACAGTGTCACTGTCCCTCCACAGAACGGTGGCTGCCACACAGAGCCACCACACTCCAGGAGATTCTAAGTGTTCAGGTCCTACCAAGGGAGCCTTTCATGAGCTACTGAAAGACTGATTTTCACCAGATTTGACTGAAGCTACGCCTCCAAACAGGCCTATTTTATCTTTATAACATACAGGACCACACTTTACTGCTTACTGTAGTATTCTATTCAGCACCAAAGTTCCCAATAAATTAGACCCTTGCAAAGCAAACTTAAATTCTCAAAGACCTTGAAAAACTTTACATAGGCTCCAAAATCAGTTAAATGTGACTATGTTGAATGCTGCAGTATCTTTAAATATTGACTGTACCATTAGTTATGCCAAGCTAAGTGCTTAACTGCAATTTAAGGCTAAGCACACTCTCTTATTAAAGCATATCAACAGAAGGATGAGAATTTAGGAATGCTCCACAAAGCTCTATTCACAAATCCATCAGAGGTCAATAGCTGTCTCTCATGATCTCCTTTAAAACAAAAAGTAACACATCATGTAAGACACCCACTCATCACTGGTTGTCACTGACAGAAAGTCTCAGAGGAGTCCAAACCAGCTGATTGACTGTGAGCTCTGTGTGACAGGGGAGATTCCCAGGGCAGCAGCAGGCCTGCTCTGTCCAGAAACACATACCTGCATAAAAGGCATTAAAGGCACATGGCTGAGCTAGAAGAGAAAAGCACAGGGAATGATGCAGCTTTACAGTGTCTAAGAAGAAAGGTTTCAAGGGTAAAATCACAAGATCACAGGTTTTCTGCAGTTGTGTCACCAGTGCTGCACCTGCTGCTAAACAAGTGCTTGTTTTTGTACCCAGTGCTCTGGGGTGTGGGAGCAGTGATAGACGAGCACTTGCCATCAGCGTGTTAAGCTGTTCACTATGGGAAGCTGTCCTGTTCCATGCTGCACTGCATCATTTTAATCAGTGTCCCGCTGCTTTGTCAAGCACATTAAAGCACTAGCTATAAGCTTTCCTATTTACTCTTCAACCCAAGTTATACTGCACACATAACACAGGGGATGGAGATCCAGATATAACATATGGCTTGTGTGATGGGTGGGAAGATAATGTGGAGTGTATAGTTCATCTCTGAAGTAGGAAATAATTCACAAGTGAGGAAAAGATATCAAGTTTTTCCTTACCAATCAAGAAATACACAAGTTAATGAAGGTCAGCTCTTGGTATATTTAAGCAAATTTTTTTTTATCTTTTAATTTCCTGATAATCCTGATTTAGGAATGCAAAGGCTCTACCTTAGAGGGCTAGTAAGGACTGTTTGAAAACAGTGATTATTGCTAAGCACACGCAAACAATTTTAGCTTGCATATCAAGAATACCTCCTGCTCATTTTGGAATTATGGCTCTATAAATCTGTCAAGAGGCCATCTGAGATTAATAACCATGCACTGGGGAAGAATCTTCCAAAGCCTAAGATGTAAGCAGTGCTTCTATAAATCTTGCCCTTTCTTGGCCAGACTTTGTGATATTGTCCCTTATTTCCAGTGGCTGGTTCAAATCAAACCCAAAGCAGCTTCTGGCTTTTCTCAGTCAACAGTACAGCCTTGAGACTACAGGCTCTTAGAATGTGAGACTGAAAGTTCCCCTTTCCCAAATCCTTCAGCAGTGAAACCAAAAAGTTTTTGCAAGCCTGAAACAGTGTGGTATTTGCTATTCTGACAAATGGTTTCTCTCAATGATGGTCTGAAAGACCACTATTACAAAACACTTTAGAAGTGTTATCACTGTCAGACTAGAGGAAAAAGGTGACCTGGAAGGGAATCCCTAAGAGATATTTTACAGAGTGCTGTCACTATTAATCTGCAGTTAAATTTCTGAACATAAAATACTTGGAACCTGGCTTCTTTACCATTGTCTCATTAAAAAGTAAAGAATCTAAACCATGTGGCTTCTTTATAGGCTTGCATCCTTCACAGCACAGTCACACGATCCACAGCCAACCCTACAAGAAAATGAGCCCCTGTAGTCATTCCAAATGACATTCTGGACAGCAGCCACCTGGACCATCTCCCACAGACAGCAGTGGCTGCTGCTCCTTTACAAGTTCACCTTTAAACTAGGAAGCCAAAGAACTGCTCAGGACTGCCCAGCTGGGAAGTCAGTGTGGACCAGAACCAGCCTTGGGAGCTGCTCCTCCATCTCTACACAGCACAGGACACCCGTGTTGCCAATAAGTAGAGAGCAGACTCCAGGCTCATGTGCTGCTTCTTGGCAAAACAGGCCAGTTCATGCAAAGCCACAGGCTGCTGTGGTTCAGCTGCTTTCACTGCCAGTGCCAGATCATTGAATTAGCTGTAAAAAACAGCAGCTTGAAGTGTCGAGGCACTAACAGACTAGATATCTTGCTCTGTTTCCAGAATGGAATAAGCTACCTAACACAGTCACTCTTAGGCCAGTCAGTGTACAGAGTTAGCATGGAACGAGTTCACATGCTGGCTCACAAACTGGGTGCTTGTAAACAGCCATGAGACATGATCAGGCTTTGTATCTACCTTGTACAGAAAGTCAAAGGCAGAACTGATCATCAAATCCAGTGGATAAAATAGGGCTTTATTTATCCTGACCCATAGCTGTGCTTATTAGCATCTTGTAACACCACTGCTGTGGGTTACAACCCCTTCTGTGTTGGCCACTTTTCTCATCATGTGTTTTTACAGCTTCTGTGATACCATGCATAGAGGAAAAGATTAAATACTGAAAACTGAGCTCTTCACATAGATGATACTTAGAAAAACTCACCTGTGCTACCCCATTCAATATACAGATCTATTGGAACAGTGAGGTATATCTATGTATATCCCCAAAATATTTCCCTCCTGTGTGCAGCATACGTGAAAATTTCAGAAGGAAAAAAAATTAAAATAGCAATGAAACACCCAGTGCTGTGCATACAGTTGTGTTTCAGCCAGGGACACCCTCAGCCTATCTCCAGCAGCCCATACAAGCAAACTTTAGGTGCAAAAGCAAGTTCCATCACTATCACTGAAATCAGGCAGCTGCAGCCACTAGAACTCCACTGCACAAGTACCCAGGGTAAATTTGGTGGAAACGTGACTCCACAGGAAATGAAAACTTAAAATAAAAGATACAGCAGATTACACCATTAATTGAAAAATATTTTGGTAACAGTAGTCTAATTGGTAAAGCTCTGGATGAGGCATCAGTCTGGGTTTAATTTCCAGTTCTAAAGCTAGTGTGTCTGCGTCCCTTAAAAAAAGGCACCTTAATGTGAAGCTACTTAAGTTTCACACACATATCCTGCTGAGCATGCAGGAACCTATAAATGAATTAATCTGACCTGATAGATCTGTAGCAAAGATTTACATGATAACCCATCACACCAAGCATGAGAACCACAATACAGGTCATCTAAAGGATCATCAGTTCTTAGAAGCTTTTTTCTGCACAGCATTCAAAAGTTTGGACCCCACAGGGATAAATCTGATCCCCAGTGTGTTACAGACTTTTTTACCTCTCAGACCGTTTGCTCACATGGAGCCCAAGGACAGTCTTCCAGAGCACACGCTCTTCCTGCAAGCAGCAGCCAGAGGAAAGCTCTTCAGGCTCTTTTCCTACTCATTCCTCTTACTTGCCTTGTCCATTCATGTTGGAGGCTTTTAAGGAAAGGACTGTGCTTTAAGATTTTATACTCCCTAACTGCAGTCTTAGGTAAACACGCTCTTTAAATATAACTTATGAATATACTCTATTAACCTTTCACTTTATACCTTGATTTAACAGCAAAGTGTAACATTTCTCTGTGTTTATTTTGCTAACTTCAATTCTGGTTCACAAAGCAAACTTTCAACTTACTATTTTCTATTTGTAAAACCCAGTTAAAGACAGACCTATTTTAGTGATGGGTAAATTGATGAATGATACAAACTGGAAAAGCTGCTCCCCAGCAGGCCAAATGAAAAATTCATCTCTCAGTGAACTTAAAATCAAAACAAATTAATGTATACTTGTGAAAAGTATACAGTTACTGCACTTGGAAACCTTTTTTTTGACAGCTCCTAGAAAGTTGATGTGTACATGCCAGGAGTTTTTATATGAATGTCATTAACTGAAATACTGCCCACACGTGTGCCACACTCTGGCACTGTGGATTGTCCCCTTGCTCTTTTGCAGTAATAGAAGAGTGGAGGCTGAAAAGACAACTAGCAAAAAAAGAAATTCCATATGTGTTGTACACCTATGTTGGAAGTTCTTATTTGTAATGCTCTGGACTGCAAACTGGAGTTATAAGGCAAAAGCACATGTTATGGTGACCTGTACATGGAACTAGTGTTGACTTCCCACTAACGGATTGCTCCATGAAAAGCAGTGATTTGGAAAGAAAGCTTGTTTCTAAGTACAATATTCTGTAACAGAAGGGTTTCAGTTTAATTTTGGGAAGTCGTGTATATGGCTTGGGTATGAGTTTTCTCCATTAGTATAACAAATCAATTTCTTACATATTAAATTCACTACTTTGTTGAAAAGTTGCTAAATGCAACTGAAGGTAATGAATTCTCATAGTCATTGCTACCGTTATTATCATCTACGATCTAAAAGAGATTTAAAGTAAGTTTAATTAAAAGGCAAATGTCAAGGCTTTGATTATGCCTCTAACATGACTGAACTCAGACTAAGGCAACTCACGACTGAGAGAACAAAACACCAACCACTGCAGTCACATGCTGGCATTTGTAACTCTACAGGCCCTGGTTCTTGCAAATCTGAAAAGCTGAAAACGAACAAAACCCAGTTAGTGTGATTTTCCATGACTTACAGCATGGAGAAGAAGCAAACGGTGCTGCACAGAGGAGGTGCAGCCTCTCCACATTGCAGGGACAGGGCTGCCAGGCACCATTTCCCTGTTCAAACACAGGCAGGGGGAAGAACAGGCTCCACTTCTGCGCTTTGTTTCACATCCAGCTGTGCCTTCAGGGAAGTGTAGTTTGAGTAAGTTTTCTCAGTTTTAAAAATCCCATCAGCTG